TGGTGAAACCATGTCTCTACTAAAAATACAAAAATTAGCTGGGCATGGTGGCGTGTGCCTGTAATCCCTGCTACCTGGGAGGCTGAGGCAGCAGAATTGCTTGAACCTGGGAGGCAGAGGTTGCAGTGAACCAAGATGCTGCCACTACACTCCAGCCTGGGCAACAAGAGCGAAATTCCATCTCAAAAATAAATAAATAAATAAATAAATAAATAAATAAATAAATAAATAAATAAAATAAAAATAAAGAGGCAGGTGCTTGGAACAGGGCCCACAGGTCACCATCACCGTTGAGGCTGTGTGAGTGACTTGGACACTTGTCCCATTCGGTCCCTGGTCTGCTCTAGGAACTGTATCGGCAGTCAGGACCCCTACTGCGGGTGGGCCCCAGATGGCTCCTGCATCTTCCTCAGCCCAGGCACCAGGTACTGTGGGAGAGGGAGGTGGGTGGAGGGTGTGTCGGACCCGCCCATGATCCAGGACCCCCTGGATCTCTGACTGTGAGAGGGGCCTCTGCTGACGGTGCCTCCTCTCCCCATTAGAGCCACCTTTGAGCAGGACGTGTCCGGGGCCAGCACCTCAGGCTTAGGGGACTGCACAGGTGAGTTGGGAGGATGGCAGGCTAAGACCCCCTCCCCCACTACCATGGGGGAGGGGAGGGAGGAGGCTAGAGGACCCTCGAATCCTCCGGGAGGTGGGTGGGGAAACTGGACTCCATCAGAGCTTTAGAAAGGCATCGAAAGGTCTTTCCATGCCTTTCTAAAGGTTATTGGGGAGGGAGATAGGGGAAGAACAGAGACCCCAGAAGACAGACACACCAAGAAACAGGCTTTGACAAGGACGAAGAGACAACAGAAGGCAGACAGACGAACTTCAATAGGACAGAAGGGGCCAGGCGGTGGCAACTCCTGCCTATAATCCCAGCATTCTGAGTGGCCAAGACAGGAGGGTCACTTGAGGTCAGGAGTTCGAGACCACCCTGGGCAACATAGTGAAACCCTGTCTCTAAAACAAAAACCCAAAAATAATCCAGACGTGGCAGTGCATGCCTGTAGTGCCAGCTACTCGGGAGGCTGAGGCAGGAGGATCGCTTGAGCCAGGGAGGTGGAGGCTGCAATGAACTGTGGTCAGGCCACTGCACTCCAGCTTGGGCAACGGAGCAAGAATCTTTTTTTTTTTTTTTTTTTTTTTTTTTTGAGACAGAGTTTTACTCTGTCACCCAGGCTAGAGTACAGTGGTGTGATCTCAGCTTACTGCAACCTCCA